TGGTCGATGGCACCATTCCCTTGGCCGGTGGCCCTATCTCTTGGCTGATGGACTCTTAGCATGTCCCCAAGGTGGTTCAGAAGTGTCACAGAAGTTGGCATAGTTTTCAGAGGTGCAGAGTAGTGCAAACAGAGGCAACATGAAGCATAGCGATGGATTTCCGAGCGAAGCTGTCCGAGCATGCATGCATCCCTCTTCTCAAGGCCTCTTCACTGTTTTTGTAATTTAATTAATTTGTTTAATTAGTTAAAGTTTTGTAATATATTATTAGCTTGTTAGTTAGTTAATTAGTTGTTTTATATTATTTATTCGGACCCTCCATCGAGAGGGCGAATTTTGTAATAAGTGTGCGTACGTGTGTGAATGTCTTCCAACCCCACGTCTTTCTCCCTTTTACTTACCTACTTTTGATGGTTAGTTCTAGGTCATGTTTTGATTAGCATCATTATGCTCATATGTTTGCATCCATTCATTTGTATTACATGCACCGGGCCCGGCGCATCATACTAACTGTATTGTATTTCAATTTCAAGTTGAATACATGTTATCTAGTTGCATCTCACATGACATTTTAAAATAGCCGAGCCTATTTCTAGTTGCATTTTTGCATGCGTTGCATTAGCCATCTTAACATGAACTAGGATCATGCATTGATTACTAACTAGTTGTAGTTTCGGCTCGGAGTACTAGGTAAGCTTTTATGCTTCAGCATCTTGCATGAGTGTGAGTGCTGCCATGATAGCATGCTTGTCATGAGGCTATTTGCTTATGTGATATAACTGCCTGAATGCCTGTGGATGAAGGTTGGATAACTCGAATTGGACCAATTCATTGAAATACGTGTTTTAGCCTACTTGCGAGTAGCAAACCTCAAACCATTTTCCAAACAAACGGATATGCGATGCTTTGTTCCAAATTAGGCGATCTAGTCTATACTTGTATACTGTGCGCATCACATAGTAATTCTAGCTAACCGGAATAAATAAGAACGCATGTGTTTTCAAAAACAAGATATCATGTTTAGTAGTGGTCGATCTTTGATCGGGCGAGCGGGGGTGCTCATAGATTTTCCCCAATCGTACCCAAGTTCCCGAGCGGAGGCAACTTTGGTGATGACGGACACGTGACC